TGAAAGATATGATCGATGATCGAGATTGACACAATTCCATATCTCGTAATTGATCGGATCGTATTGACGAAGGGATAATAATTTCACGGTAAACGAACGAATTTGGTTTTGTCATACCACGTGACATTTCCCGTTACATGTATTGCCCTGACACATTGCTAGACGTCAATCAGGGATGGCGAGTGTGAATTGACGATAAATTAAAAGGGTGTATTAATTTATCAATTTTGATTAGATCAAAACAATATTTCACGACGTTAGGCATCGTGGTCGGGAACCTAATGGGTCGCACACAAAAGAGAATTGGAAGATTGCAAATTGCCAATTGGTTAATTTAACAATCGTTGGATAAATTAATTAATTGAATTTGTTATTTATATTCCCGAATTAATTAATTGGATTGTTTATTTATATTCCCGAATTAATTAATTGGATTAATAAATTCACGGACCGGGTTTAATTAATTGGATTAATTAAATATTGGACCGGACCGGACCCGATCCGTTTGGGTTTATATATATATACACAGCTAGGGTTTAAGGTCTAAATAGGTTTTCATTATTCTTACTGGCACAAGAGAAAAATCTTAGCAGTTGCAGTCTATTCTCTGTGTGAATTTTGTTGGAGGCTGGACAATTGGACAGTTGTGGGAGGCAGATTCAAACTGCTGGAAAGGAATAACGCGAAGGAGTTTGCAAATTACAATAAAAGGTATATTTCTTATCACAGTTTTTATCTAAATACAAAACTGAATCCTAAATGGGAATTGAAATTTATTAAATTCCGCTGTGCATGTTTAAGTAAATTCCCAACACCAGTTTGTAGTGTCATCCAATTCCATTGATGTATACTAAGGGAATTGCTTATTTCCAAATAAGCAATTATGTTAGCCTCTTTAACATAGCCAAATAAGCAATTCCGTCTCCACTCACCAAATTTTTCTTTTCCAATATATATGTGATTGTCGCTTCAAAAAAGAAAAAAAGTGTCGTGTTAAAAATATCATGAATAAAAAAATAAATAAAAATCCCATTTAGCACTCCTAGCATGCATTAGAATGGTACAAACAAGGTTAGAAGATAATAAAACAAACATCGAATTATTGACGGGAAGATATGAAATGAATGAATGGCTAATACATTAATAATAGGGTTGGGTATAGATCAGATGGGATGGTCCATCGATGACTCGCCATTAGCTGTATGGAAAGCTAACTCTGTGATAGACCTTTCCATTGGAATCCAAGTAGTCCTTTTCACTTCTCTCTTCATTTCTGCATATAAATAAGCCCACAATTCTTCGGCATAAACACAAAAACGGATAAATTAAAATAATTTATAACACGAACAAATGGCCAAATTGGCATTCTCGGGTTTGAAAGATTTTCTTCTGTTTGCTATCGTATGTGTTCTGGCATTGTCGTCTTCTGTCAGTGCACGACCGGCCACGTTTTTACAGGATTTTCAAGTTACCTGGTCGGACTCTCATATCAGACAACTTGATGGAGGAAGAGCCATTCAACTTGTTCTAGATCAAACTTCAGGTACAACTTCTGTTAGGAACTAATTGCTGATTCTAACCACGATCAGATGATAAAAATATGTATTATAATTTTAATTAGGATGCGGATTTGCTTCCAAGTACAAGTATTTGTTCGGACGTGTTAGCATTAAAATCAAGCTCGTTCCTGGTGATTCTGCAGGAACAGTCACGGCCTTTTACGTAAGTTCATTCTTTAATCACGTCTGTCCCGTTGTACTACAAAGTATTTCTTTTTAATTTTAATCATGTTTGTTATTGTTTAGTCCAATATCCCGTTGTTATTGTTTAGTCCAATATCCCGAACATGTTATCCTTTCCCAAATATTTATTTGTATGTTTTATTGTGTCGTAGATGAACTCAGACACAGAATCGATACGAGATGAGCTAGATTTCGAATTCTTGGGTAACCGGACTGGACAGCCCTACACAGTACAAACTAATGTCTATGCTCATGGGAAAGGAGACAGGGAACAAAGGATCAACCTTTGGTTTGATCCTTCTGCAGAATTCCATACTTACACAATAATGTGGAATCATCGTCATGTTGTGTAAGTTGGGACAATTTATTCATTTTAAACAACGTTTTTTGAGGTAATGTATTTTATTACTCTGAAAAGAAAGAAGGTAAGGTACAAACTTAAGGGTCGCTTGAATATGACCCCCAGCCAATGAAATAAATCAGATAACTTGACTATTCCAAATTACAACTAGTTAAAGATACAAAATTTCTTATGCCATATGCTTTCGTCATACTTCTCATCATCCTTTTTCGAGTCCTCTTTAGAGTAAGCCATATACTAATTAAACATTACTTTATTGTTTTTTTTTAATTTTTTTATTTTAGCTTCTCTGTCGATGAAGTACCGATTAGGGTTTACAAGAACAACGAAGCTAAAGGCATTCCATACCCAAAGTTCCAGCCCATGGGAGTGTTTTCCACCTTATGGGAAGCTGATGATTGGGCAACAAGGGGTGGCCTTGAGAAAATAGATTGGAGCAAGGCACCTTTCTATGCATACTACAAGGATTTTGACATCGAAGGTTGCCCTGTGCCAGGCCCACAAAATTGTGCCTCAAATGTTAATAATTGGTGGGAAAGAGCTGCATATCAAGTACTTAGTCCAGTCGAGGCAAGGAGATACCGTTGGGTTCGTATGAACCACATGATCTACGATTACTGCACCGACAAGTCTCGGTACCCCGTTACCCCGCCTGAGTGTGTTGCAGGAATCTAAAAACTTCGTTCTTATTTAATCCCATATATACAACCTTTATTTATATACACACAGGTGTGGTGTAAAAGAAAATGAGCCATGCCAATTGCCGTGCATATAAAGGGACATGAAAGGAATTGTTTAAATGTAGTTTGGTTCATATCCACATCCTATATTGAATTTGTGAGTCTAAAGGAGTGTCAAAAGTCAATGTCATTTTCTTGCTTTGTTGTTCTGTCTGTATTTGTTTAATCCAATAATGTTATATATGGCATGATTGTGAAAAGGATCTAATTGAAAGTTTCAAAAGAATAATATAAATTATTAATTTGTCACCTTTACTATGAATCATCTCCTCAACGTTAAATTGTATAATAATTTAGCCTCCATTTAAGAAGAATTTATAAATAGTTTAATTTCTAAATAAATAGAAATGCATGATTAGATTGTACTTGTGAATTTATTGAAATGTAAAGTTGAAATAAAGTTTGACGATTAATAAATTTTGACAAACGGATCCTTAGTTATTGATTTCCTTTTTGCATCAATTAGCATAGCGTATATTCATGTGTAAAAATATAGAATATGACATCTTATTCATGTTTAAAATGTATAATTAATTAAAATGAAACGACAAGTGTTGTTAAAATAGGTGACAAAAGGAGAGATTCAAGAGATAGGTACCTTCGTTCGACCTAACATTAAGTGTCTAGCTCAAGATGTGTGAAGGATAATTAGGAAAGATTGAATAGAAGAGCAAAAGGCGAGGTTGAACCCAAAATCCACACTTATGTGAGTGAAGAGTGGCATGAAAGGATATACCATAATGCGAGGATGAGCAAAGAAGATTAATGAAGCCAATGATATATATTTATAATTTAACATTACACGAAATCTCCACAATAAGTCAAACTAGGTAGAAACTATCTTTGACACGGGTTTCAAGCTTAGTGGTAGCATATTAAACGCTCCATCAAAGTGTGTTATGATCCATCTCCATAGCTATTTTTAAACTATTCTTTCATTGTCTATTTGGATTTGCAGTTATTATGTTCAGGGTGGGCATTTTTATCCAGAAATGGATTACATCAAATTGGTTGGTTTAGTTTGATTCTAGTTGAATATTTTGACACAAGAAAATAGCTATTCAAAACAAGCAAAAATCACATGATGTCACAGGCAAAACAAGAAGGAAAAAAGGATAAACTTCGTACATCTACCAGACAACTAATGCACAATGCAAATTCCTAAGCCTTTCCGAAGAGCCTCAAACCGAATAATATCCAAGTTCTTGGTGGATAAATTATAGCATCTAAATCATTCTTTTAAACCACCCGTCTCATTTTTGTTTCACATATGTATTGATTTTCTTTCCTTTGTGATTATTAACTAGGTTCAATTATTCGTCTCAACTGAACATAGCACGACCATACTTAACATAGAAGACAGGGTTTGAAGAGAGATACAAGTGAAATGTGTTTTCTATAACATGAAATTGCTACAAGTGTTTGATGTCAAGTTTTGTAATATAGTAACAAAATGAAAAGTGTCGAATGCACATGGATTGGTATTTGAATCTTATTGAATACTATAATTATTTTAGCTCTCTCTTTATTTAGAAAATCAAAATTTGAAACAATGTCGTTATACTAATCTAATGTAATTGAGATGAACAATGCAATTAAAAGAAGGCACTTTGTAAAGTGTTTATTAAGTTGTGGAAGCCTAGAAAGTGATTTCACCACACTATCAACAATATTTTTTAACTTCTATAAGTACTATCAAATTTTCCAAAATTTATAGACAAGAACCCTAAATTAATCATATTTCCTCTCTCGAGTGCCAAATAGAACCTATTTTTTATATTTCAATTTCAATATCTCTATTCCAAATCAAAAATATAAAAATTATCACACACACAGTTCTTAATTGGAATACACCTTGAAGATTTCGTACCTTCTCTCGAAACTTACAAAATCTATTTTATGTTGTTCTTTGATCACACTCAAATTTCCCACTCTCGAGTGTCGAAATTGAAAGTATCAAATCATTCAATCTTTGATCAGGTAATTGAAAGCATTACGCGAGAATCATCATAAATAAATTGATGAAAAAATCAAAGGAAATAATTATATAAAAATCAAAACAAGTCTCAAGATAGGTTACATCAAACCCTAGATTTAAAGTTTTAGTTCATAATTAAGATGAATGATATGATACAATAGAAAAGAAAGAACATGGAGAAGAAAAGAATAAGAAAAACTGGCTTTGCCGCTTGATTTCTCCTCTCGGAAGTTGTCAATTCTCTCTCAATTAATTGCTTCCTCGCCTGCCTCTTTTTCCTTCTTTCTCCCTTTTCTTTATGTCTTCAAGTCAGTATTTATAGTCCCTTAAGGTTTCAAGATAGTTTAGGGTTGGACCAGGCCGAGAATATTTTTAAAAATTTGAATTCTCTCTTTCTAGAAAGCGGTGCCACGATGAATTCCAGGCTAGATGAAAGCATTTCTAATTTCAGTTTCTATTCAAGCATGACATTAAAACAATTACACTAGTTACTGATTTAATGTTGTCAAAACTGTCTTTTTTTTATTCATCTCCTATTCACTACAAATTTTAAGTGACTTTAATTGCAATAAATTTCTCAAAAGAAAGTAGAAATTTGGTGTTAAAGCCTTCATCATTCTTAATACAAATATCTAACCCCTCTATTACTAATTTCTCAAATTGGTTTCAAGCTTGGTACAAACACTTGGAAAATAAATATTTAGCCATTGTATTACAACTTTCAGTGCAAGAAAATGCCTAACACCAGAACCTTACATGCAATTGCCCTTATATTTGCATGCATCTCTGTTAGATTTCGTGTTGGCTATTAGGTGAACAAAAGGGTAAAATTGTAAATGTTCAAAAGTTTGGGGTCAATTTGTCAAGATTTAAAGGTTAGGGTCATTGTGTACATGTGTAAAAGATGAGGGACTAAGTTGCAATTTTGTCAAAGTATGCTAGGGTTCGAGCTATGAAGTAGGGCAAGATGTGTCGTTGAAGTTTCGCTAACTGCTCGCCAAGTGGTCGCTCGAGCAACAAAAACAGAAAGGTCGTCGCTCGCTTTTCGCTCCCACTTCCCTTGAGCGAAACAGCGTCGCTACCTTTTCGCTCGAGTGACGGTGTTACTCATAAAACCCTATTTTCTATTTTTTGACATTTTAACCCGACTCAAATGTCCAAATACATTTCATATAAATAAAATTGTGCCGATTTTTAGACGTCCTCTTAAGAATTGAAATTGAAGAAAACTCTCCACACTTTGATTCTCTCATTCAATCTCATATTTGATTTGCACAATTACACAAAAACATCAAATCAACATTCAAACACCACAACACAACCTTCCAAAACCTTTGTTGATTCTTGGAGATCGAGGAAAGAGATCAGAGTCTCGATCATTAGACAACAGACAGTTCTCTTGAATCCACAGGAGATAGACGAAATCAAAAGCCGGGAATTGGTGTAGCACTCAATCTAGGAGGGCTAAGTGCCGGAAGTTGGTGCAAGATCACGCATTCCAAGAAGGCTTTGAGGAAATTATGGTCAGGAGGTCAAAAAAACCAATGTGGGTTGAGTCTGACAGATTGTAAGTTGTATTTTCATTTATAATGGATTCCTACTGGCTTGGGCCAGGAATTTTAGCCACATTGGGGTTTCTCCATCATCAAATAATTGCGTTATTTACTTTTCTACAATTAATTTATTACCGGCATTCAAACATAGGATAATAAAGCATGTGAACTGATCTGAACAAATTAATATTTGTGACGTGTTGTAATTATTAATTGATTGAAAAAAAAATTTCATATAAACACCTATTCACCCCCTCTAGGTGTTGATTGGGTCGAAGTACGATATTTCAAGTGGTATCAGAGCTAAATCTCGAGTCATGACCCATTTTTGTCTAGATGAGTCAATCACTATCCGTGCCTCCGTATTTTGACAAAAGCAACTATGCCTATTGGAAGGTCAAAATGCGTGTGTTTCTTAAGTCCATAGATGAACATGTATGGGCGAGTCTACAAAATGGTTGGAAACCTCCTTCCACAACTATGTCAGGTGTTGTAACCCCAACTGACATTTTCCTTTGGACTAAGGATGAATTGGCTGAATGCAACTGGAATAGTAAAGGTCTCCATGCATTATTTATGTCTGTATCTCCTGAAGAGTTTATGAGAGTGTCAATGTACGAAACTGCTAAAGAGGTATGAGACATTCTAGAGACAACGCATGAGGGAACTAAAACTGTGAAAAATTCTAAGTTGCAAATGCTGGCCTCAAGGTTTGAAGAAATCAAGATGAAGGATGATGAATCTTTTGATGAGTTCTATGCTAAATTGAATGATATTGTTAACTCTAGTTTCAACCTAGGTGAGAGGATTCCCGAGTCCAAAATTGTGAGGAAGGTTCTTAGGTCCTTACCCTAGAGATTTAGACCTAAAGTTACAGCTATTAAAGAAAGCAAGGATCTTGACACAGTTAAGATAGAAGAACTCGTAGGATCCCTTCAAACTTATAAACTCGCCATTTTACAACCGAGTAAAAATAAGTCCATAGCCTTGAACACTGTTAGGAAAGAAGAGTCAGAGTCATCTGACGTGAAAACTCTTAGAGATGAGGAGATTGCATACTTTGTGAAGAAATTTCAGAAAGTCTTAAAGGGCAAAAAATGGCCTCAAGAGAAAATAAGAGAAGCCCCTAGTAAATTACAAAGAGAGAAGAATGATAAATCAACTGCTAGGAACCCTGGTAAGAAATCTCAAGTGGGTCGGTGTCATGAGTGTCAGGGATTTGGGCACTATAGGAATGAATGTCCTAGCTTTAAGAAAAATCTAAAGAAGGGAAGTAGCAAGGCATTAGCTGTGTCCTTGACTAATGATGATTCTAACTCAAGTGAGCAAAGTGATTCCTCAAGCAGTGAGGAGGAAAAAGGCTATATGGCTTTTGTATCTACTGTCAAGAGCGAGTTAGATAAGGAGAGTGAGAAGGTTGAGGAGGAGGTAGAGAGTAACAAGTCTGGTGATGATTCGGAGGATGAGATGGATATACATGAAGCTTATCAACTTCTGTTTAAGGAAAGTCTCAAGATCAAAAAGGTAAATAAAGCCCTATTTAAGAAGGTAAACGAGCTTGAGAGAGAGAAGGAGAAAATCACCTATGATCTTCAAGTCTCATCTAAGAGTCTCAGTAAGTTGAAGTGTGTCAATGAGAAATTAGAGGACAGGGTTAAGACATTGACTTGTGAGTTAGAGAAATCCAGCACTCAACTGCAGTCTGTGAGTGAAACTAAGAAACTAGACGATCTGCTAGGAATGAACAAACCAGCTAGAAATAGGCAAGGTCTAGGATTTGTGAAGAGTGATGACAATGTATCTAGCTTGTCCAAGACCACATTTGTCCGTGCTACCAACAGATCTAATGTTTCAACCAATCCAGAATCCAAAGACAAGAATTTCACTGGACGAAAGGCCACTAGAGCTCATAAGGTTTCTACACCTAAATTTCAGGATCAACACTCACGTACATCTGAACCTAGGTTCATACCCACTTGTCATCACTACGGTGCTTTAGGTTACACGAGACCTAGGTGTCGAAAGCTAACAAATAGGAATAGAAGTCAGGATATCCCTAGTCAAGTAAACTTCCTTTCAAATCAGGTTAGTCATTTAACTGAGATGGTAACAAGGTTAACTAGGAACACCTCGACCTCTAGAAAAATTTGGGTAAAGCAATCTGATGTGGTGAGTATGGTGAGAATCTAAAATGTTTTGTTGCTCATGTAGCATATAAGGCTCAAAAAACATGCATGTGGTATCTTGATAATGCTTGTTCTAGACACGTGTGGAAACAATGCCTTATTCTCTACCTTCGACGACTGCAACGATGGTGTAGTTACCTTTGGGGACGGAGCTACGACACCCATCCGAGGTAATGGCTCTATCACCATTGCTGGACTTCCTACAACATCTAATGTGCTTTATGTAGAGGGTCTTAAATCCAACTTGTTGAGCATTAGTCAAATCTATGATGCTGACTATGAAGTGAGTTTTGTCCAAAAGAGATGCACTATTTATAACACTTCAGGTGGTGTTGTTCTTGAAGGTGTTACAACATCTGATAACTGTTATGGAGTTCTCCCAAACTTGAACTATGTGTGCAGTAGTGCTAAAATTGATATGTCTGAACTTTGGCCTCAAAGGCTCATCATGTTAATTACAGAAGTCTGTCTAAATTGGTCAAAAAGAAGATTGTCGATGTTTTACCTAAGATTGATCAAAGTGAGAAGCTGTGTGCAAGCTGTGTCAGCAAGGAAAGCAACTCAGGATGAACCATAAGCGAACCTCAAAAATCTTGACAAATAGACCCTTAGAGCTTCTCCGTATGGATTTAATGGGACTATCAAGGGTGGAGAGCCTAAGAGGCAAACGGTATATTCTGGTTGTGGTAGATGACTTTTTTAAATACACCTGAATTGAACTGTTAAGAGAAAAATCTGAGACGGGTGATCTGGTTAAGTCCTTATGTAAAAGACTCAAAATTGAACAAAATCTTTCTATTTCTAGGGTTCGAAGTGATCATGGGAAAGAATTTGAAAACTTCAATCTAGAAAAATCTATTTGGAGGAGGGGATTAAGCATGAATTCTCCTCACCAATCACTCCACAGCAAAATGGAGTTGTTGAGAGGAAGAATAGAGTACTTCAAGAAATGGCTGGGGCCATGCTTCACGACAAGGATCTAGCAATGCATTTCTGAGGTAAAGCTATTAACACTGCATGCCACATAATAAATAGGGTATACCTGAGACCGAAAATAGACAAAACTCCCTATGAGATTTGGAAAGGCAAGAAGCCTACTGTTAAATACTTTCATGTGTTTGGCAGCAAGTGCTACATTCTGAGGGATAGAGAATATCTAGGCAAGTTTGATTCCAAAAGTGATGATGGGGTTTTTCTAGGATATTCTAAGAATAGTAGAGCCTATCGAGTTTACAACTTGCGTACTCAGAGTGTCTTGGAATCTGTAAATGTTGTTATTGATGATGCCTTTACTGAAGGGGAGAGTGCTGAAAATGGGGTTGACATAGAAAATCTAAATAATGATCAAGGAGCCACTGCTGAAAATAAAGAGCAATCATTCCAAAATCTCCACGCTCCTCTGAAAACGTCTCTGATCAGGTTCTACCAAATTGTGATCAGTCTAAGCTTCCTAGAGAACCATCTTCCAGGGTTAAATCTAATCATCCTAAGGTTAACTTCATTAGGGTTTAGATGAAGGTATGAGGTTACGAAAAAGAGTTCTAAATAACCTAACATATACTAGTTACATATCCTACATTGAACCTGAGAAAGTAGGGGAAGCCCTTAGAGATAAATGCTGGGTAAATGCCATGCATGAAGAGCTTAATCAATTTGTTCGAAATAATGTTTGGTATCTAATTCCTAGGCCTGATGACTGTAATGTGATAGGTGCTAAGTGGATTTTCAAGAACAAAACTGATGACCAAGATACCATAACTAGAAATAAGGCTAGACTAGTTGCCCAGGGTTACACTCAGGTTGAAGGGGTAGATTTTGATGAGACTTTTGCCCCTGTTGCTCGTCTTGAGTCCATTCGTATTCTTCTTGTACTTGCATGTACCTTAGGGTTCAAGCTATATCAAATGGATGTCAAGAGTGCATTCTTAAATGGAATACTTCAAGAAGAGACGTATTTTGAACATCCGAAAGGATTCATTGACGCTAAATTTCCTCATTATGTCTACAAACTCGATAAAGCACCGTGTGGTCTGAAACAAGCTCCTAGAGATTGTTATGACAGGCTCACCACTTACCTTGTTGAGCATGGGTTCTCATGAGGTGGAGCTGACAGAACCTTATTCATTAGACATATTGAAGAAACCATAACTGTAGCTCAGATCTATGTCAATGACATCATCTTTAGCTTTCCTATTGACTCTCTTGCTCTTGAATTTGCTGAATGCATGAAACAAGAATTTGAAATGAGCATGGTTGGAAAGCTAAGTTACTTCATTGGTCTTCAAGTGAAGCAAACTGATTGTGGGCTGTTTATCTCTCAATCAAAATATGCCAAAGACCCTGTGAAGAGATTTGACTTGGACAGTAAGAAACACACAAGAACACCCATGAGCACAAGTGTTAAGTTAGGACATGATCCTACAGGTAAGAGTGTTGATCAGATTGTGTATAGGAGCATGATAGGCAGTCTACTACACCTTACAGCCAGTAGACCTGACATAGAGTTCAGTGTTGGAGTATGTGCTAGATTTCAAGCTGATCCTAAGGAGTCCCATCTAAGTGCAATGAGGCGCATTATTAGATATGTCAATGGGACAGTAAATCATGGGATCTTGTATTCCAGAGAGTCCAATCTTGAACTAGCCGACTATTCTGATGCCGATTGGGCCGATAGAAAGAGTACCTTGAGTGGATGTTTCTATGTTGGTTCTAATCTTGTCTCATGGATGAGTAAGAAACAAAACTCAGTCTCATTGTCCACAGCCGAGGCAAAATACATTGTAGCTGGTAGCTGTTACACTCAACTTCTTTGGATGAAGCAAATGTTGAGTGACTATGGGATAAATAAGGATACTATGACTGTTTTCTGTGACAATACCAGTGCTATCAACATATCAAAAAATCATGTTCAACATTCTAGGATCAAACACATTAACATTCATCATCACTTTATTCGAGATCTAGTTGAGTCTAATGTGGTATCACTTGAACACATCTCTACTGAAAATCAACTTGCGGATTTGTTCACTAAAGCTCTAGATGGGTTGAGATTCGAGTCACTTAGGAAGGCTGTTAGCATCTGTGTTCCTTCCTGATCATCTTCATAGATGCATGCATGTTTAGTTTATTTCAGTAATTCTTTTATGCATTCATTATATAGCTTATTTGTGTTCATTTGCATTTGTCTTTCATTTTGGCTTTTAATTAAAAAAAAAAGGATTGATCATCACGTGTCATTTTTGCATTGTAATTGTGTCACTCGGACTTGCAATTTGAGATCAAATGTACATTCAACACATGATTAGTTTTTAATTCCCATCACTTATCTTGAGTCTGTATGGAGTACTTAGTATATGTCACTTCATTTTATATTTGCACAGCACACACTAGGATCGTGTGAGTAAGTCTTGACTGCATGTGTAAGACTTGGGATGGCTATCATCTGTCGTTGAGTTGACATTGGATTTGAATTGATGTTGGACTAGATGACCTAACTTCTGGTGTACCCCCAAGTGATTCAACAGAGTATTTATTGTATCACATATTATACCTATCTTCGGAGCCTAGTTGACTCGAACAATTAAGTCTGAGGGGTTTTCTCATAACTTGGTGCCCTAAAGCCAACTGGTTTGGGAGTTACCGACCCAACGCTCGTTACAGGGGTCTTCTCAGTAGCTTAATGGAAACGAGATTGCACATAAGAAAAAAAATGGAGGTCCTTAATGACAAGAGAAGAAAAAAAATCGATTTTACACCATATTTTAATGAATTATTGATTTTAGTGGCATTGGATTTGACCTTCAAACATCAGAGTGTTGACTCCTACATCGTTGATTTGGCTGTCTCTTCTCACAAATTTAAGATTTTGAGTTAGTCTTGCATGGAATAAGTGACACGTTTTACGTGGAGTCACATATAAAATTTACTCAATCTGTACTTGGTCCCGGTGTGTGGAGAAATATTTTCTAATAATTGCGTATGCCATATTTGTGATCTATTGCATTTGATTGGACCTACTGCCTGTGCATAATTCATGCATTAAAAAAAATTGGGTCAAAATTCAAATTTCTGGAAAATGTACTATTTGTGAAAGTTTCTAAAGTGTTGTTACTTTCCAAAGTTTTAAACCTGAGGTTAGATTTTTAAATTTTCAATATTAAATGCTATTTTTGACATTTCACTCTTCGCTCGCTTGCCGCTGGAAGCTCGCTCGAGCGACGAAAGCAGTGTGCTTGTCGCTCGATGTTCAATGGAGTCTCGCTTGAGCGACAGCGAGATTTTTATTTTCTCACGAAGGGCTCCGGTTCATTTTTTTTATTTTTCACATCTCTCTCTCAAATTCCTCTCGCAAACGCCATTTCTGGTCGATTTTCACTTCAATCATTGCGTGTGGGGCTTCAATTCTTCTTCCTTGTGTAACTTCATTGGTTTTTCTTCGGACCAAATCGGTAAGTGCATCGATTGACCTAATTTTTTTTCTCAATTTGGGGTTTTGATTTTTCCACTTCATTTTGCTTAACACACTTCTTTCATTCTGTATTGTGCTGTATGGTTGGTGTTTCCTTGTTTGTTATCACATTTTTTTCCTTTTTTTTCCTTGTTCTTCGTATTTTAGTTGTAATTCAAGCATTTTTTTGTGTTCTCCATTGTGGGTCTTGTGTATCGTGATTGGGAGTTTCTTAGATGCTGGGTAGATAGTGTTGTTAAGAAATGTTGGGTGTCTATTGGGTTATTACAATTGTAGTTCAACTTCCTTACATTTCGAATGCCTGCAACGTGTTCGATGAAATGTTTCATCCCCACTTCCCTACTTCCTTTGCCCATTGTGTGACATTCCTCTCGTGTGCTTGGTGGCTGGACCCTAGCTATGTCGTTTTGGTCCCTATTCTGGGTCGGCACTTATTGGTTTTGGAGTTGCCAATCATACTTGCAGTGAGTTCCTTCCGTCCTGCAACCGTTCTGCTCACGTCTAGGTCACGTCACTTATGGCTTGGTCATTGTCCTCTGGCTACAGTGACATGTGTTACATCTGGCTTGCATGATTGCCACTTGTGCACCATTCTTGCATCGGTTTGCATGCTTGTGTGTGGTTGAACTTTAGGACTTGTGTATTCATGTGTTTCTGTCAATTAGTTTTCCTTAAGGATTGATGTGTCTTCTACATCTCGCATTGCAGATGGCACCTAAGAGGGCTAGGAATACAGCTCAGCCTGAAAGTAGATCGACTTCGTTTAGTCGATCTAGGTTCATTTCCTCTACCGCTCAAGAGGTATTTGGGAGTCAGTTTTTCCGTCATCCTATTCTAGTAGAGCGTGAGGTCACTCTACCTGACCAATCCCCTGATCTAGCAGCTATCTTTACTTCTCGAGGTTGGGAATCCTTACTGATTGGGTTAAATCCCCCGCCTAGTCTCCTTGTTCAGGAGTTCTATGCGAACATCCATGACATTAGTGATTCGTCCTTCAGGGTGTTCCTTCGGGGTCAGACACTTAGGATTTCACTAGATGTTATTTCCAGTTCCATACATGTTCCCCGGGTCATTCACCCCGTTTACCCATATCTTTCAGTGGATTCTAC